CTCCCAGATAATACTCCACCTCAGTGTCCTGACTCTCCCCAGATAATACTCCATCTCACAGAGTGTCCTGACTCCCTAATAATACTCCGCCTCCCAGATTGTACTGACTCTCCCAGATAATACTCCACCTCAGTGTCCTGACTCTCTCCAGATAATACTCCATCTCAGTGTCCTGACTCCCTGATAATACTCCGCCTCCCAGATTGTACTGACTCTCCCAGATAATACTCCACCTCAGTGTCCTGACTCTCCCCAGATAATACTCCATCTCACAGAGTGTCCTAACTCCCTGATAATACTCCGCCTCCCAGATTGTACTGACTCTCCCAAATACTCCACCTCAACAGTATCCTGACTCTCCCCAGATAATACTCCATCTCACAGAGTGTACTGACTCCCTGATAATACTCTACCTCAGAGTGTACTGATCCCCCCCCAGATAATACTCCACCTCACAGAGTGTACTGATTCCCCCAGATAATACTCCCCCTCAGAGTGTACTGATTCCCCCAGATAATACTCACCTCACAGATTGTCCTGACTCTCCCAGATAATACTCCCCCTCACAGTGTGTACTGATTCCCCCAGATAATACTCCACCTCAGAGTGTTACTGACTGCGCCCAGACAATACTCCACCTCACGGATTGTCCTGACTCTCCCAGATAATAGTCTACCTCAAAGTGTACTGATTTCCCAGATAATACTCCACCTCACAGATTGTCCTGACTCTCCCAGATAATACTCCATCTCAGTGTCCTGACTCTCCCCAGATAATACTCCATCTCACAGAGTGTCCTGACTCCCTGATAATACTCCGCCTCCCAGATTGTACTGACTCTCCCAGATAATACTCCACCTCACAGAGTGTTACTGACTGCGCTCAGATAATACTCCACCTCACAGATGGTCCTGACTCTCCCAGATAATAGTCCACCTCAGAGTGTACTGATTCCCCCAGATAATACTCCACCTCATAGATTGTCCTGACTCTCCCAGATAATAGTCCACCTCAGAGTGTACTGATTCCCCCAGATAACACTCCACCTCACAGAGTGTACTGACTCCCCCAGATGATACTCCACCTCACAGATTGCTCTCCTCTAGAATACTCTGGAGTCAACTAGAGTCGTGGTATAAGTCCAGGGAGTGAAAGCTCACCCGGCGCCTGGTGGTTCAGTGGTGAGGCCTACGTTAAGGGTATAGGTTCCACTCTCGGCACCAGTGGACAGTGGGGTCACAGTCAATGGGGGAACAAACAGGAGACTGTGACAATCAGGCCCTGATGGGAGAGGGGGCGTGGCCAAGGCAACACCTTCAGTCTCAGGTCACCCAGTTGAGTGTGACACTTTGGAAACATTCCCAGAACAATGCCATCACAGAGATGGGAACCAGGGAGAGTCTGTGTGGGGTCCGGGGAGTGGCGGGGCACCCCGGTCACCAGGGGATGGAAGGCTGTGGTCAGGTCCATCTGCGCATGTGGTCGACACGCAGGAGCACACACACCACCAGCACCCACGCCACCTCCCCGGCCCCGAAGCGTGATGTGGCCGCGCAGTGGGGAGAAGACACTGCCGTCTCTGCAACCCCCAGGGACCTGCCATCCGCTCACAGCTGGCTCGGCATGGACGGTGTGTTCTGGCCAACCCCACACCACACCCAGCATGCTTCTGAAGGCCAGGCTTGTGTGCCCACGGGCCGAGACAGAGTGAGTGCTGAGCTTCCAGGACCAGCCACACCCTTGGGCCCAGACCCACTGCCGCCCCATAGAGCCTCAGGCGCCCTCCGAGTCCAGGCTGTCCGCCTGCCCAACTGCAGTAAGATATCCTATTGGTTGGAGGGCAGGGGTATCCTGGGCACCAGGGCAGCTGCTCTCCCGCGGGACCCGAGGCTGAGCCGCCCGCTGCCTCTGACGCTTGGGCCATGCTCGGGACCCAGCCAGCTGACCCCTGACCCCTGGTCCCCGTGCCTGCTGGCTGGCCTGCAGCCAACTCATAAAAGAGACCACCAAAGCCCCTGAGTGTAAACACCAGCGAGGCCACGGTGCTGGTGGCGATGGTGCTGGGGGCCTGTTTGAAGGCACGCCCACTCCTCCCAGCGGGAGGAGCCTGGGTCCTGGGCGGCAGAGGGCTGCTGAAGAACTGGCCCTGAGCCTGGAGCAGCAGGGCAGGAGACAGCAACACCTCCCGAGGCAGGAGTGCCAGATAGGCCAGATGTCTTGTCCACACACGGGAGCAACTCCACGAGGGCTGTAGATCCACTGCCGCAGGCCGACCCTGCCGCAGACCCCAGGATGCCCACCGCCAGGTCCCCGAGAAAGGGGCTGGGAGCCCTACCTTCTTCAGCTCAATGATCTCATCATACATGTCCTCCTTCTCACGGTAGGCGGGGGTCCCGGGGACACGACCTGGGGAGACACGTCCCTTAGAGATGACACGGAAGGGCGGAAGCCTTCCTGACCTCACCTTAAAGAACACCTGGAAGTTCACAAAGTCACCCTTTAAAACACAGATGTGTGCGTGGGAGGGAGAATTGTAGGAGGTCAGCGTTTCAGTTAGATCGGGCAACTTGCCCTGAAAGTCGACTCCGAGTGCTGCCACGGGATGCCCAGCTTGTCCCAGGCGTCCAGAGGAAAGGGGCTGACACAGAGGCTGTGACTGTGCCCCCAAGACACCCCCATACTCGGAGCCGGGGGCCATGGAGCGCACCATGCCAGCACTACAGGCGACCGGGTCTGTGGCTGTCGGTGTGCCCTGGGTGGGTTCCAACCAGCAGTTCACTGCTGAGCCTGAGCCACTGTGCCTCCAACCACCACCACCAAGCCACTGCCCTCAGTCGCCCCAGGACAGAGTGGGCTGCTAACTGTTACGGGAGCAGGGAGCCTCACTGTTCTCCTCGGAGCTGCTGGCAGGCTGGAGCCACCGGCCACCGCACCCCAGGGCTCCTTTTCCAAGAAGCAAGGCAGTAAGGTCACAGGAGTGGGCAGGCGGAGTAAGGGAAAGGAGGCGGAGCTGGGGGCGGGACTGGGACGAATGGGGTCCTAAAGAGGTAACAGACGAGGTGGGCAGAGACAGACAGACAGACAGCAAACGTCAGGGCACGCTGCCTGCTGCTACCTGCCAGATGCCAGGATTCCGGGGACCTCGGACATGGCGAGCCCAGGCCACATGCCATCTGCATCCCCCAGGAGCCTCAAAAGAAGGGTCTGGAAGCACTCAGGGACCCTGCACG